TTTTAATTATTTTTGTTTTATTTTTATAGGTATTTCATGTTTGCCAATTTGTTTTTGTTGCTGTGCATTATGATATTGGACTAAGCTAAGGTAACATTTTATAGCATTTTTAATAATAAAAAAGGTGGGTGTAGTATTGTTAAGATTGTTTGAGCAGGGTCCTCTCTAACCTGTAATCCTGTAATATTTTATAATTGTCTTTGTCATTGCTAAACCCCCATCCCTTTATAATATTGTAAAGCATTCAGGAGAAAAAAATTGTGCTGTATAAAAGCCAATAATAAAATAAACATTTTTTTTTTTTTTTTTTTACATTTTTATTTGAAATGCTCCTGTTTAAACCATATCTTAGAATCTGCTGTCATCGCCATTTGATCCCTAAGGTCCCTGTTCCAGCATAGTATGTCTTCTGTTGCGATCTACATCCCTGCTGTCATTAAATGGCTGGGGTCATTCTATTTTGGTATAGGTTACTAAAACCAGATTGTTATGACAGCAGAGATAAGAAGTAGAGTTTCAGGGAAAAAAAAGTTTATAAAAATAACCAGCTACACGCTTTATTTACAGTGCACACAGAAGGCCTGTAATTAAAAATAATGCTGTAATAAGGTTAAGAAGGCACTTTAATACACTGTGAATTGTAAATGTCCAGTGCCTTGCTCCTGGATACTTTGCACATAGTGAAATTCAATAACCTGTTCAAGCCAGTAGTCTTTATCGTGCAATGAGTGTGTGATTGCTTAACTGAATTGGATGCTTCGGAATGTTTATATAAAGATTTCTTCACTAAATTGGGAATGTGGAAGTTAAAGGGACACTCCATTTTAACCTTCCCTGCAGTGCCAGGAAAACGGGTTTGTTTTCCTGGCACAGGAGAGTCCCTTTAAGAAGGCCAAATTGGAAAAGTTCCCAATTTCACTATTTGTTTCTGACTTTGACCAAAAATGTGCAAATGTCTGGTTAGTTCTTCTGGTTTGGTGAGTTGACCTCCTACAGCAGACTCAATAGGAGCTTAACTATGTTTATGACTGTCACTAGGACAGTTCACCCTACTGGAAACAAATTTCCTTGGGACAGTATTCAACCCAAAAAACACAGGTGAAGCTTTCAAAGTTAATTACAATTCAGTCTGATATATTATTATAAATGGTGCTCTTATATTTTCTTATTTTTCATGTTGTACTTGTTGCAAAAGGTTCTAAGAAAGAACCTTTGTTTAACCATATGTGCCTTATTGTCCAAAGATGTATTTGCCACAGTGCCAGCAAGGCTTGGGGCCTAGGATGGCAATTGGGATGTGGGAAGCTTTTTTTTCTTTTTTCCCTCAGAAAGGACATAGTGCTTGTGCAACCTCACAGCATTCAGCCCATACTCAGAGCACATTAACATGCACTCTGTAGGGTCTGCCCTGCCTGAGTGACTTCCAAAGAGGCTGTCAGTCAATGTTTGGACCCATCAAATTAAGATCCATAGTTTGAAACTATCTGTTGCTGCGAATACATTGTTTTATTTGTGCCCATAAGGACTTGGGAGAACCCCTGGACGCCCTGCATGCCAAGCTGAGATGCCTCCTCTTCTGAAACGCCGGTACCACTAACTGGCATAACTTCCCCTCTTCTTGGCCTCTAGTGCCCAACCCACCTATCTGTCACAGATCCATACCTCCTATTGTTGAAAGATATGGAGCCAGTCACAGAACTGCATTTCTTAGGCTAGACATATGATTATTGTAATTGATTGTGACATTAACCAGCCTTAATGCTATTTTTAGGGTTTAGAAACAGGGTTAATAGTGTCAGACTAATTTAGTAATTGACAAGTTAGCCCAGTTATTTAGATTGAATTGACAGTTTTATTTCTTGGTAACATAGGTAGCCTTCAGTATACAAATAACCAAAACTGTGAATTCAGAACTTTTCAAAATCCATTATCTTCTAAATGGTTTGGATATGTATACCATTTGAAAGCTTGTGCTAACACCGTTCGTTGTCAGCAGTACTTTGAAAGGATGAAAAACACACTGGGCACATTCATCAGATAAACAATGTGAAGACATGTGACTTGCAGTTTTATCATTAGAGACTGGCTGCAGGCAATGTTATATTATGGGCATGTGCTATAGCTTTAATGTGTTAACTGGTTTCCTTAAATTAACTAAAATTCAACTGCATTCTGTTTATGAAAGTGTTGTAATTAAACTGTAATGTAACAGATGAGTAGTAGTTCCTGGTTATCAGCCTCTCTAGATCAAAACTGCAATGTTGGTGAATTGATAATTTAATATATATATAAAAAACTTTTTTTGTGTGTCTCATAGTTCAGTATATATTTCTAGAAAAAAAAAAGTTTTTTATATATATATTATATTATCAATTCACCAACATTGCAGTTTTGATCTAGAGAGGCTGATAACCAGGAACTACTACTCAGTCTGATATCCTGGAATCTATTTGGTGCTGCACCGAGGAAATTTAGCTGCAATCTAGTATCCAGATCCTTAGTAAAAAAACAAAACAAAAAAACCCCACATATATCGCTTTTAGTCTGAGCCAGCTTGTGGAGTTGCTCAGAACAATGTGAGTGGATCCTACTTGTTCCATACATATAATTGGTTTTAACCATATTAGCCTATATGCTTTTTTATTTTTATTTTTTAAATCTTGTTCATAGATGCATCTTTTAATTATCCCATTTGTGGAAATATTTACACTCTTTATTGAGTGCTCTCACCACCATTTATTGCATATTAGGCAAAAATAAAGCCATGTCTGCACTCAGTAGACATTTAAGATGCATCTATGAACAAGATTAAAAAAAATATAGGCTAATATGGTTAAAACCAATTATATGTATGGAACAAGTAGGATCCACTCACATTGTTCTGAGCAACTCCACAAGCTGGCTCAGACTAAAAGCGATATATGCAGAAAAAAAAGTGTTGTTTTTTTTTTGTTGTTTTTTTTTTTTACTAAGGATCTGGATACTAGATTGCAGCTAAATTTCCTCGGTGCAGCACCAAATAGATTCCAGGATATCAGATTGAGGTTAAAAACTTCTCCATAGGCTTTATTATAAACACAGTTAAAACCAGATTCCTTACAAAATAAATAGAATATAGTCCACCTCCACTTAACCCATTTCAGCTAGTTACTTTTTTCAAAAGTGGTTTTGTAGTGAGTGTTCCTGTCATCCTCCCTTTTAAATCTATTTTGGCACCATTTTTGGACTTGTTGGTAATCTCTTCCAGGTTCGTCATAATTCCGCGCATGTGTTCATGCGTCTCCTTGCGTACAATGTCGGACTTGCGATCACATGTTAGTTCAGAATGCCGATACCTAAGTAAAACAAACAGATCCCATTTGTGTGTTCTAAACTTGTATATATCGTCCACAAAAAGTTTTAAAGTCCGTCATAACTCTGGAGTCTTAAAAGGGGGTATAAAATATCAGAAAAATACATAGTAATGTTACATAAATTAAATAAGAGTTAAGAAATAGGAAACAGTATTACATAGACAATTTAAGATCTGTCGTGATTAAAAAAAAAAAGAAATTAGTATGAATATATATATATATATATATATATATATATATATATATATATATATATATATATATAAATTTGTGTGTATGGGCAGTGATCAGCACTCTTGGACTTGTAAAAGTTAAAACTTACAGTTTATTAATAATCCATTAAAAATCAGATCAACGTTTCAGTCCTAGCAGGGACTTTCATCAGGATCAGGCCTGATTTTTTTTTTAAAGCATGAATTGATCTCAAAATCGGCATTTAAGCCATGGGGTAACATGGTGTCAAGGTTAGAAATCCACCTCATCTCAGACTTGCTCAGGAGACTAATCTATATCACCACCTCTCCAATGTGTTTTGATTGCTTCAATACCTATAAAATCTAGTCCCTGTGGATTTCCATTGTGGTTTTCTAAATTTTTTTTTTTTTCACGCTTTACTATTTATTGTTTTACCTTTATTTTTGCCTAATACATGTTCTGCATCTTTTATATTATATGATACTTTAGGCAAGTATTAGTTTGTTAGCACGAGTGACTCATTCATAGGGGCACTTAGGCCCCACCAGATAATTGTCATAACAAATATATATGTATAGTGGTCAGAGTTAATTACTGACATTGTTTTTCAGGAGGGGGGGTTACTGTGCAAATTTCTATTTCAAATGGTTAAGATACCATATAATACCCTCCTCTTTTAACTACCACCACATCACCGACTTCTTGATAATAAATAATTGCTGTCTGTATAAGCTGTACAAAGCAAATAGGCATTTGCAGAACTTGTCATTTAAGATCCACTCAAACAGGGTATCTTTTTTTTTATTTTTTATTATTTTTGAAATTTTATTTTTTTCAATCAGTTGCTCTGTCTTTTTATTTTTGTAATGAGGTGTGTGTGTGTGTGTGTGTGTGTGTGTATATATATGTATATATTATTTCTAAAAAATCCCAAAATTGGCTGCACCAGGGTACTATAAAGAATATCCATTTATTTGCAGAGGTTAGTGCCAAGCTCTTTGTGATATATAATCTATATTTACATTTTTTTTTTTTTTTTATCTCCAGTAGAGTAGGGAATTGGGCCAATTATATAAAGTGTGTGTGATTTCAATCGCCCACATTTTTTTTTTATCTGATTCTAGTTTCATTTCTTTTTATCTTTACAGCAGTGTACTGTAAAGTTTACATTTATATTGTAATGCTATACAAGTCTTTTCTCTTAAAGGGCCACTAAAATCACCCAGACCACTTTATCTCCATGATGTGTTTTGGGTGCAGTGGCCCTTTAGTTTTAACACTACCATATAAAACATTGCAGGCCACTAGTGGCACTTCCATAGTAACAAACAAGCAATTCAACGCTTAGCAATTAATAGGAATTCAGTGTTTTCATATAAGAAGCTTTTGGCTTTTTGTGCCGCACTTTATAAGGAGCATTGTATTTGTCATTGTAGATACTGCGTGGATGATGTGGCAGGAGGAGGCGCAGAATTGAGGGAGTTTTGGCAGTGGAGGAAAAGGTATGTAAAAAAAAAAAAAATTGTATTTACTGAATACCTATAGATCAATTGATTATAATATCATTATAAGTGATTATTTTACAGTCTAACAAACAAATGATGTAAATAAGGGGTGTCAAAGTAGAGTCTTGGAAGGCATTTTATTCTCCCTAACTACTTTAATGTCTCACAGCCTGCCAGGTGCCTGGTATGTGATTGATTTGTAAACCACATTTAAAAAAATCAAAGTAGCTGGTTTGTGAAGGCTCTCCAGTTGTTTTTGTTATCCAGACTTCATTTGCTAACAACTATAGTTTGTGTCCATGGAGCACACTATCACTATTTTTATTCTGTCCTAGTACTATGAAAAACACTTTATTTGTGGTCTAGACAATCACAATAAAAGAAAATTATATATATCTATATTTGTTTAGTTGGTTCACAGTCCACATTACAGGCTTGTTATGAAGCCATGATCCTCTGTCTGGTTTGATCTGGCTGGAGCACATTGTGCTATTTGAGGGGTGGAGCAGGACGGGATATTGCTCTTTTTTTCTTCTTCTTCTTCTTCTAATTCTTCTCATAGATGCTGCTTCTTGTCACTGACGTCACCACCCTGCGTCACCCACTTATGCCGAATGTCAAAACAAGACTGTGATTGGCCAGCTTGCTGCCGGAAACTCCCTCGGTGACTATAAAAGGCAGAGTTTGCTGCGCAGGAGTTTACTTTGAAGAAGAGCAGCCGGGTGTCCACTTGTCCTCGCACCATCTCCGGACACGTCATAAAGCCGGGATTACCTGCACCCCCCCTCGCCACGTGCCCCCACACCCATCACTCCTGTCCGCCATGTCGAACGGCTCGGCGCCCCGTGCCAGCACCGACACACTGCCGGAGATCGACGTTGCCGTCACTTTCCTCGCCAGCCTCCTGAGGGGTCGAGTAAGCGAGCAGCGGATCCATGTGTTCCGGATGGCCCTGAGATGCACACTCAAAGGTGAGGATCCCGGGGACCGGGGGATTAGATAGAAACTAACTAACTAACCAGAAACCAACCAACTAACTAACTAACCGTGTGAGGGCCGGGGCAGCTTTACAGCGCGTTGGACTCCTCGACCACTCCATGAATGCAGTACAAGGCCCTCGGGAGTAGTCCCAGCCTGCTCTCACTTACTGAGCTGGCACCCCATAATCTTAAATCTCTCCCCTTCCTTAGCGAGCTGGCACCCCATAACCATAAATCCAGCACCTCCCTACTGAGCTGGCACTTTATAACACTAAATCTCTCCCATTCCTTAGTGAGCCGGCACCCCATATTCCTAAATCTCTTGCCTCACTAGTGTACTGGCACCCTCTAATCCTAAATCTTTCACACCCTTACTGAGCTGGCACCCCATAATCCTTAATCTATCACTTCCCGAGTGTACTGACACCCCCCCAATACTAAATCTCTCACATTCCTAGTGAGCTGGCACCCCATAATCCTAAATCTCCCACCTCCTTAGTGAGCTGACACCCCATAACCCTTAACCTCTCACCTCCCTAGTGAGCTGGCCCCCATAACCCTATATCTCATACCTGTCTTGCTGGCAGTGCTGAATCTTAAATAGTATGTTGCTGCTCTGTACACAATAGCCATAGCTAGACCCCCACCAGGGGATCTGCAACCATGCGGCAAGTTGGGTGTGAGTATCTGTGTAATAAACTTATTTCATTGATACATGTGCTACAAAATACCTGACCCATTAAAGCGAAACATTGCCCGCACAATTATTCTTTTAAGAGTGGATGGTTCTGCTATAATTTATTCAACCATGGATTATGGAGAATTTACAAAAAAAACTGCATTATTAATTTATTAACAAGAAATGGCAGTTATTTTGGCCTTCAATTTGCAAGTTCTTTGCTAATTTTATACCATCCATAGTTTAACAACTAATCCTTTTTCATCTATAAACTGTTTAGCAAATGTATAAATTGAACACTGTATTAATCTGAGGTTTGTTTCCTCCTTGGTATGTGTGCATTTACAATGGGACATGTGGTCACTAATGGATTTTTGGGAATCCATGCACAACCACTGCCACTTTTAGAACTACATTTTATAGTTATTGAGCTGATTAGATATCTGTATCTCTAAGCATATCTGCTGTAGTTGGTATAGAACCAACTTGTTTTACTGCTATAGCTAATTTGTAATTAATTCAAGTAGCTTTTGTATTTCATGTGTAATCTTTTGAGCTTATAGAATAACACCTTACTTAGGAAAATGTGTTTTGTTGTAACCAGATTTGCATATTCCAGTTTATGGTTCTATAAATAAATATACATTTAATTTAAAAAAAAAAAAAAACCATCTAGATGACACTCCATCTTACTTGCAGGACTTATCAAAGGATGGGTTGTGTCCCAAAAGATAACTTTATCAAAGTTAGTATTCCAGTTAAGTTTGTAGTATCTTTTGGGGGTAAATAGTTTTGCAAGAGGCAGGATGTGCATATTGGCAGTCTATATAGACACATATGAAGTGATGAGCTGTGTTGATATTTAGCCAACTAACGTATTTCACTATAAACTGAATTGGTAAATTGTGTGAACATAAAACATGAATTTTTTCATGGATTTTTGTTTCTTTTCACACTTTTGGTGAGTAAACAATTTTGTGCATTATGTATTATCATGTCCGTTAACAACATATATCATTTTGTTGACTTGTATTTCTGCTTAATATTTTCCAGAACACTATGCACATCATTGGTTTCCAGATAAGCCTGCCAAAGGTTCTGGCTACCGCTGCATCCGGATAAATCATAAGATGGATCCAGTTATAAGCAACGTGGCCGGTCGTATCAACATGAGCAACCAGCAGCTGCTCGGCTTACTGCCTAAAGAGCTCACCCTCTGGGTGGACCCATATGAGGTCTCCTACCGAATTGGTGAAGATGGCTCTATATGTGTGCTTTATGAAGCTCCTGTTCCAACTGTTCGGGGGCCCTTAAGCTGTAAGAGTGAACTGCTGAGCAGTTCCAAAGCTCCCAATCGATACCTAATAACTGTTGGCAGCTAACCTCGCCTTGGGAACTCCCCATTTGCTGCTTGTGTATGTTGTAAATACCTCGCTCTGGGAGCCATCTTTTCTAATGAAGATATATTTATATTTTTAAAGATTCTTTTTTTTTTTTTAGGATAGAACATATGAAACTTTTTTTGATGCCTATTATTAAATTCTCACTTTGAGAAACACTAATGCACTAGTGCAGCATGTACAGCCCCTACCAGTTCTATAGTAGCAGAATGAAGGCAGCTATAACTGTTTAATATAGATGGGTAATATGGAGGAGTATGGGTTTGGTTTTTTTTTTTTTAAATTGAAAATAACTGATTTTGAGAAATCCCTCACTGGAGTATCGTAAAGAATAAGAATGCTTTGAATTCAGCTATCTTTAAAATGGTAACTTTGTGCACCAATGTATGGAGATTTTGTTAGCGAGGAAACATGGGCAACCTTTGGCTAACACATGTTGAGCTCCAACTCCTTGGATTCCCTGCCATCTACTTATTTATGGAACACAGGTTAGTGGAGATTTTGGAGTTGGAGTTCCAACAAAACAATTGGATTGCCACAGGTTGCCCATGTGTGTTATAAAAATAAACAAATAAAAAATAATAATAAAATAAATATAAATATTACACACACACACACACACAATCTCTCTCTTTGGTATGAGGACAACTTAAATGTAATTCTTCCCCCTCTGTGGTAGTTGTCTGTAAAACAGGCTATATTATCACATTTTAACCTAAACCAGATTTTCTGCAACCTTGCACTTTATTCCTAGTTAAAATAAAAAAAATAACACAGAAAACCAAATGAAAAAAAAATTTTTAAAAAATTGTGTATTGTTTAAATTCCCTGTTTTAGCTGCTCTGTGCTTGAGACACTTGATGTGTGTTGTAGAGCAACACCAACTTCTGTGGATCAGAATTTTTCAGGTCTCTCCAGCACAGACAGATGAAAGGGAAAAAAGCACTTAAATTGCAACCATTTTTGTGAATGCCATCTTGAATTGATGTAGCGTTTTTTTTTTGTTTTTTTTTAACTTTTAAAAGGTATTTGGCATGCAAATACTTCAGGATTTCCCTGCAGGGATGCAGTGAGACTTAAATTAAAGCTGGACTTTAAACATAAGTAAGATTAGATAAAGGGCCAATGTATTTACTGCCTTTGCTCTTATTGAATGTTAAATATTGCACATTGAGCATTTGTTTCCAGACATGTTAAAGTTTAAGAGAATTTAAAAATCCTTTTCGAAAGTTGTAGAATATGATTACATTTCCAACACTTTGTTGTACCATGGGTACAAGATACCTGTGCCAGAATGACTGATAGAAATCAAATGTCTGCTTTATCATTGCCTTTTTTTCTTACTGACTTTTTCTGTTATCATATGTATGAGGGGGTAGTTTTACTTTCTAAAGAGAATTAATTCTTCTAACAGAAGTCTGAATAATGACCTAAATCTTTTGAATACTGGTGGTAGTGAGTATCTATTCAGAAGGCTTTCACTCTCAGCTACTAGTATTCAAAAGAGAGCACATTATTTTTATTTTTTTAATGTAGTAATGCTTGCTCCAATGTTTCTGTACTTTGGGTCACTGTTTGCACATATATAACTTGCCACCCTCTACACTAGTGGTTCTTAACCTCCTTTTAATTAGATCCAGTTTATGTACTTTGATATTTAGTTTTATTATTGTAAAATTTACTAAACAAAAAAACCTTTTCAATTCTTCCTGATAGTCTACGTTGCACTAGGCAACCTGGTAACAATACAGTAAACTGTATATTTACTTCCAGTTTTGACCAAATCAGAACAAATCACTTTTTCGGCCACTTTTTAGCAGGGGTTAAGAACCACAGTTATCAATTTAAAACTGCCTGCATTTTTTTGTTTCTTTTTTAACATGTTCCTTGAGGGATTGGAAAGGGGCGGGTTTATTTATTTGTTTTTCAACAATTTTGAAGTCTCTCCCTTTTGAGTTAAACCTGTAGAAAGTGCCTTCCAGGTGCCTGTCTGAGCCATACACAAATTTAACACGCACACAATACATGGAACATGGGTGCCATGTATATTTCCACAAATCTTTGTTACCATTCTGCCAAATTTGAAACAAGTTTACATACTATATACCAACAGAAGACTATTCATAAAAAGTGTTATGTACTGTAATAGGTGCTGTACTGTTGTTACTTTGTAATAAAAAGAAATTATCTTATCTACAGTCTCCTTCGTCTTGAATTGTCAGTCAAACCTATCTAGAGCGCCCATCTGTGTTTAAACTCCATTTTATTTTTTCTTTAAAGACTAGGTGTTTAAAAAAAATATAGATTTAAAAAAAAAAAAACAATTATTTATTTTCTTCGATCTGCTATTTCAGCTTCCATTTTTGCCTTTTATTTGAATTCACTACAATTTGGATTTTAATATTGGTAGTAAAGTCGTTTTTTTTATTTTATGTTTTTATTTATTTTTTTAAATTCTTTATTTTTGCATTGACAAAGACTGCAGTACATCAACAATATAAGGCTTGTGCACAAGCCATTTCGCCAAATATATTGCATTGCATATGTGATACAGAAAGATAGGTAAATACCGTTAAAACATGCATTACACCAAAGAATGGTAACTAGCTTGCTCAGTCTGTCAAGGTTTTTCTTCTTTATAGCGTTATAGTAACATGACAAATATCCAGTATACTGGGTACATATTGTAACTGTGCTATAGACTTGTAATATACATAACTTCCTTCGTGTAATGTTATAATCGTGATCTTGTTCTTATTGTGACCCGCCTGTCGGGACCCCTAAGGTCTCTAGATTTGGATGTGTTGATACTGGCGTAAGCTGTGTTGGGATCTAAATATTAACCACAGGTTGTACAGGCTGAATCTGGAGCATTTAGAGAATTGTTAGTGTATCCTTTGCTTTAGGAATGTTTAATAGTCCCTTACTTGGGTTAGTGTTGCCTGTTGAGTGCCTATTGATGCGGAATTTGCTAGTGTTTGGTTTGTGATTAAACTGTGGGTAAAGGTCCTATTAGAGAGATGGGATAAGAGTAGAGTAAGAAATAAGAGGGTCGCGCACAGAGGTGGAGACGGGAAAAAGACCCGGTGGGAGAATGATCGAGGGAAATGCCAGGCTCGATGAGTAAAGTCTTTCTAAAGGGAATAATGTAATTGTTGCTGTTAAATGGATGGATTAATTTATTCTATAATGCATTACCTTTGGCAGTAAAGCTTTCCTTTATTGTCAGCTAAGCATATCTCAAGCTGTTTCTGGCATGTGAGTCTGCACCATGTAGAGTTCTAAAGTATAGCTACCAGAATGCAGGCTGGTCTTCCACAGAGTTCGTGAATGACTCATTTAAAGCTTGCATTTCATTTGCACTGTATCCCCTTTCGGACAGTACTGATGGTTTTACATGTCATTATTTCCTTTTATAAATTACTTGTTACAGTGTTCAAACAGATAAATTGTAGCTCATAGCTAAAGAATGTTCCTGCGCCAGTCTGCCTTGGCCTAGTTCTTGCCATGTAGAAAGCAGAATTTTTTTCTAAATGTTTAATTTACATGGATTAGCTATTCTATAATTATCCTGAAGTTACTTAAATTAAAGGAACACTCTCAGTGCCGGAATGAGTACATGCTGCTGTAGTGCTTTGGTGCTGTCATGGTACTGCAGTTTAGTGCAGTTTGAAATATTGCCTAGGTCCTGAAGAGTACTTGCCACTGTTTCCAGTCTACTCATTTAGGATAATCTGCTGGCTCTACCTACCCATGGGTGAAATTACTAAGCTGATGTTGGGCTTTTGGTGTTTTGAAGTTTTTACTATAACCGTTGCAATGTACTGAAGTGGTTATGGTCCTAGGAATTCCCCTAGCATCCTACCCAATGTAGGTAGTCTGTTTGCTTTAAGATTGACTTATTTCCTGGTGTCTTCATGGTGCTGCTCCTATGCCTCTCTGGCAACCAAAAGCTCTCTACATGAGCTAAGCCCCTGGTGCAGCAACCTGCTGATGCTCTCAGCCATTGAGCTTGCCCTACACTGCAGGACTTGGCTTAGTAGATGTAATGGAGAAGCTTCTTGCAGGAACTCTGCAAACACTCACTGTTACATTGGGTGGGGAATGCCAAATAATTTGACTATATGTACTTACCATGGAGTGAGGGGGACAGGGCACTCCTGGGACCATAATCACTACTGTGCTTTAGTTGTGATGGTGCTTGGTGTATTCCTTTTTAGGTATATGCTAAAGACCAGTGACAAATTTATACATTTAGTGGTTTTAAAAAACCTTTTATTTGCTGCCTTAGATGCATCTATATGTATGCACTCCTAGGTGTGTATAGATACAAGGCAAATCTTGCCATACTTGCACTTACATACACAATCCCACTAATAATTCACAACTAACAAGTCTTATATAGACACTTATAATTACTCTTCTTTCTTAAACCGTGAAAGACGTGAAGTGTCTAGAGTCTCTGCTGACCCTAGTGCTTGTAAAGGAATGCACTTACTCCTTTTTTTGCCATTGTTAGTGTTGTAGCTGGTGCATGCATTTAATCACTGATAATTCAGTGTCTGAAGAGGTGGGCAGCTACTAAATGTATGACCACCTCCTGTACTTTGTTAGAAAAACACATTTAACACTTATCTGTCCTTTTTAGAGACCATTTCGAATATCTTAGTTTGTTTTTCTTACAACCAATCTTTCCTGGGTCAAAGAAATTCGATTGAAGGTTTAATTAGTATAGCAACATCGTAGGGAGAAGAGATTTAGGTCAGATTTTACAAAGTTACTTTGGGATATCTGACTGCATCAGTTTCCCCTAATGTGGTGTCTTGTCTTACCTTATCGGATGGCATCCAACAACTGGTTGCCAGCTTAATTACTGAGGTACTATGGCCCCATATTTGGTAATATTCACAGAGGTTCAGCAGTAACTATATTTGTTAGTTGTTCTTAAGAAGGATGTGCCCTCCTCCATAACAAGCTACTATCTTGATGCACTCAGACATCCCACAATGGGCGATACAGGAGGGGCACTTAATTAAGGCGGTGTGCCTCTTGCGGATAGCTTCCCTATTTAACCAAATAACATAGCGGTCTTGTTTAGTCCCAGACTAAAGGGGCATGTTGAGCACTGAAATTCGTGCTGGGCATTGACTTTCTCTCTGTTTATTGCTTTTAATGGGCACTGATTAATGTGTGTTTTTCATTTAGTTTTAGAGGTAAATAGTAATGTGGGAGACATGAACAGATATAGGTGAGAAATGATTTAGTGGTGTGTAGGAGCACTGGTTAGACATCCCTTTGGTGTGTGCTAAAATATCTGCAGTGCAAACTTGATAGCAACCTTTTTATTTTTAAACAAATTTTTGACAGCGCATCGGAGCACTCACCTTTTCTATCGGCACTTAACCAGCTCAATATAAGCCGCACTGGAGACATATGGGTTAGACACAAACTCTGAGCATGCTGCCAAACCTGCACATGCCTTTCTTTCCCACAAAATACTGCAGCAAAGGGCTGAAGACTACCGCATAAGATTGCCAGAGGTCTGCCAGCATGGAGTGTCACTGAGACATCAGAGCCACAATCAGATTTTTTTTTTTACCCTACTGGTGAGATGGGATGAAGTTCCACTGAAGAGGATGGCGAGCACTTTACAGCTGATTGCGTAGGTGAGGCCTCACCATACAGCCCAGCTTTAGCCACAACAAATTGAGATACCCTACAGGTCACAGGAGAATCTGCTCCTCCTACTAAGCGTGGCATCCATGACATGGTAGCCAAACTACAACATAATCTTCAACAAATGTGGGAGATTGACCTGACGGTAATCGCAACTAAAGTGGAGGCCCTGATAGCCCTCACCCAACTAACAGAGGTGGATGTATTTGACTTGAAACAAGGCCTGACTGCACTTAGGGATACGGTGCACTAACTCCCAACCTCGCTTGGCAAGTTAACCAACTAGGGGACAGACAAAAGAATGTTAAAATCAGAGGGGTCCCAGAAACTGTGCCTCTGGATGAACTTCTGCACTTCATTAGATTCCTGGTATTCTCACTCCTACACACAAAACAGGCAAAATATTTCTCTTTTGATTGTGTTGTCAAAGGCCCCAAATGCAGGGCCCTGCGACCTTAATCCCAAAATGCCAAATGCTGTCTGACATGATAGCCTTGATGGCTGCACTTAATGTAAGGACACCATGCAAGTTTGAATCATGCCAAATTGCCTTCTTTCAGGATTTAAATAGAGCTAAGTAACTCTGGCGTAAAAGTATGCACCCTGTAACCAAAACACTTCAAACCACAGGACTTGCATACCGGTGGTTGAATCCCAGGTCACTCTGGGTCACCAAAGAAGGAATAATGTACAAGACCTCTGATCCCGCAAAGAGTCCTGCTTTGCTGGCAGCATTGGGACCCCCCCTAATCACACCACAACCACAATGAGATTGTCTCGTGCCCATTCCTGGAATGTAGAAAGTGCACCTACCGGTGCTCCTGGAGGTGAAAGAAGCTCTATGACTTAACACCTGCAATTTCCATGCATGCATGACACGGTTTTCCCATGCTTCTCTGTTTTTTTTTTTTTTTTATGTTATGTTGTCTAGTGTACTATTTTCAAGGTACAAGATGCAAAATATTGCAAAAATCCTTTTTCTGCCTGTGGCCCTTTGTTGTTCGTTTTTAGGTTAAAAACTATATTTGTGTACAGGGCCGCTATCAGGGCATGACAACGATGGTGATTGTCATGGGTCCTGGGGGGCTTGGACTGCTCTGGGAGTCTTGGGCCCCACATTCCCTATGAGCACATATATAGCGATTATTAGTAAGAAGCAGGGAATTGGAGATTTTACATACACTACATCCTTACACAAATACCATGCATTCACTATGTACACTACAATTAACTACACAAACACACACGCTGCATTCACTAAACTCACTCGACATTTACTACACACACACACTCTGTATTCACTACATTGCCTACCATGCAATCAGACCACAAGGGAATGGAATATCCCTCCTCCCCTGGCCACAGGTAAGAAGCAGGGAGGGGGAGAATAAAATAAAAAGTGCTCAAATAAACGTTAAAAACAATAAACAGAAAGTGCTCTTTATTCCATACAGAATGAAGCACCTATTTTACACACACTACATCCTGCACACTCTGCATTCACTATACACAACATACACTACACAAACATACACTCTGCTTTCACTACACACACACCCACTATATACTCTGCATTCACTACGCACACTACATTCACTATACACACACACACACACTATATCCACTACACAAACCCACACTCTGCAGTCACTATACACACACTAAATCCAATACACAAACGCAACCTCTGCAGTCACTATACACACTGCATCACCACACACACACTCTGCAGTTACCACAGACTGCACTATACTCTCTCTGCATTCATTACGCACACTACATTCACTACACACACACACTACATCCAATACACAAACGCACACTCTGCATTTATCACACTCTGCAGTAACTATACACATTACATTCACTATACACACACTATATCCACTACACACACACACTCTGCATTCACTATAGCCACACTACGTTCACTACACAAACACTCTGTAGTCACTATGCATGCTCTGCATTCACGATCACACTTTGCAGTCACTATCACACTCTGCAGTAACTAGACACACACTATATTTATTACATTCAAAATGCACATTCTGCATTCACTACACACTACATTCATTATACACACACTGCATTCACTACACACACACTGCATTCACTACACACACACACTATATTTACTATACACACTCTGCATTCACTACCAGACCACCAGGGAATGTAACCTTCCCCTTCCTGGCCATAGAAAGGGGGATAAAATTAAAAGTGCATAAATAAATGTTGAAATAACAATCAAAATGCTCTTTATTCCCCACAGAATGCAGCCCCTTTTTTTTTTACACAATACATCCTTGCACAAACACACACTGTGCAGTCACTATACACACTGCAGTTACTCTGTACACTACGTTCACTATATACACTCTGCGGTCACTATACACACATTATATTCATTATACACACTCTTCAGCCACTATACACACACACTAAATCCATTAAAAAAATAACACTCTCCGCAGTCACTATACACATTCACTAGATCTAACTACATTCACTATATACATACTGCAGTCACTATATACACTCTACAGTATGTGTATAGTGAATTCAGAGCGTGTGTTTGTGTAGTGGATGTAGTGTGTACTCTGCATTCTCTACCATGCCACCGGACCACCAGGGAATTTAATCTCCCCCCTCCCTGGCCACAGGTAAGAAGCAGGGAGGGGGAATAAAAATTAAAAAAATGTTCAAATAAATGTTAAAAGAAAATTGTTTAAAAAGGCTCTTTCCCCTTTGTATGCTACAGAACGAAGCCCCTATTTTAAACACACGATGTCCATTACACAAACACCCACTGTGCATTCACTACACACACTATATTCACTATACACACAGTATATCCACTACACAAACACTCTGCAGTCACTATGCACACACACACACGACCTTCACTACACAAACAAACTATGGTCATTATACATATTCTGCATTCACTACAAATAACTACATCCACTACACAAACACACACTCTGCAGTCAATACATTTACTATATGTACTCTGTGGTCACTGTACGCACACTAAATCCTCTGCACAAACATTCCTGTCCTAATGTGTTTAAATCCCACCTCCTAGAGACTGTAAGCTCGTTAAAGCAGGGTCCTCTTCAACCTATGGTTCCTGTAAGTTTTCTTGTAATTGTCCTATTTATAGTTAAATCCCCCCTTTCAGAATATTGTAAAGCGCTACGGAATCTGTTGGCGCTATATAAATGGGGATAATATTAATATGCAGTCACTATCACACTCTGCATCAACTACACACACTACATTCACTATGCACACTCTCCATGTGCTACACCCAACACATTCACTATACAAACACACACTCTGCCGTCACTAGACACACACTACATCCACTACACAAACACACACTGTGCCTTCATTACACACACTCTTATGTCACTGTACACACATTACATTTACTATACACATTCTGCATTCACTACCATGCCACTGGACCACCAGGGAATTTAATCTCCCCCCTCCCTGGCTACAGGTCAGAAGCAGGAGGGGGAATAACATTCAAAATACTCAAATAAATGTTAAAAGGAAAACATGCAGAAATGTTATGTGTTCCCCACAGAATGAAGCTCCTATTTTAAACACACTATGCCCCTTACACAAATGCACACTACATTCACTATTCAATATATACACACACACACACACACTCTGCAGTCACTATACACAGTGTGCATTGCTACACACTCTGCAGTCACTATAAACACACTACATCCTCTACACAAGCACACACTCTGCAACCACTGCAGCCACACACAAACTATATTCACTATATACACTCTGCAGTCACAATATACACACACTACACATACACACACTCTGCAGTCACTACACAAACACTCTGTATTCACTACACACACTCTTCAGTCACTATACACGCATTGCAGTCATTATACACACATTAATATAGAAAATAGGTTGTGCCGAAAAAATATTAAAATAAAGAAAATTATCAGCTGATAGAAGACAATAAAAGACATTATTGAGATAAATCGGGAGGTTGCTGCTTCTTCAATTTGTTTGACCATAGAGGAAAGAAGAAGAAACTCAAATGGTGTAGTATGCCACATACAGGAAAATAAACTGCCATTTTCCCCCCCACAGAATGAAGCCTCTATTTTGAACAGTCTGCATTCACTAAGCATACTACATTCCCTATACACACTCTGCAGTCACTATACACACTACATCCACTACACAAGCAACACTCTGCAGTCACTACAGATGCACTAAATTCACTATAAACACACTACATTCACTACACAAGCACACGCTCTGCAGTCACTGCACACACATACTATATTAACTATACACACTCTGCAGTCACTCTACACATACTACATCCTCTACACAAACACAAAGACTACATTCACTACACAAACACACACTCTGCAGTCACTATACATTCTCTGCAGACAATTTGCACA